TCATTAAAATACTTGCATAGAATTTAAGTAAAATTACAGGAAACAAGCGTAAGACCGCCACTGAAAACGGTTTTCTAATTCACACGTTTCCTGTCGGACCGAATTCCTGAAATGCTTTTCCCATCGTCGTTCCCGCCAACGTCCTCGAACGTCCTCGTACTATTGTCTTATTACATTGTGCCGGCGTGCGTATTCGTTAAAAAAAAAAAAAACAACGAAAAATAAATATATACAAACCGCTGAGCGACCTTCGTACATTTACATTATTACTTTACAACGCCATTATATTCGGTAACCACTGTTCTTACCCTCTACGTTGTGCATATTAGTTTAATAATTTTTATAGTCCGGGGCTAGGCTACACTTCATATTATTATTAACATGACTGATGAAGCCGGTCGTCACTTCCTGTGATCCGTTGTCTGGGGTTAAAAAAAAACACGAAACCTTGAATTATAAGAAACATCGGTCAATTTATTCACAACGTTGAATTAAGTTTCGAGCGCATACAGAAAAAAGCTGCCAAAATAAAAATATATTAAATATTAATAAAAATAGCATTTGATGCGATTAAAAAAAAAATGAATAATTTTTATAATAAAATATAAGCAAAGTACATTTAACAAATAATCACTAAAGAATGTTGAATAGCCAAAACCGTTTACAAAAATAAATGAATTTTGTTTAATTATTTGCATATTTTCGATATAAATTAATGTTATTCGATTATTCTTCTTTTCTAATTATATATTCTTATTCGATTGTACTATACTCTTGTGGCTAAGCCCTAAGGTTTTCACAGTATTTTGCCAGGTCGAGAGTTCAAGAACGGTCTAGGGTACGGTCTCGTGATAGCAATCCAAGCCATTTTTGTTTTGTATGTTTTAACGTATATTGTTTACAGATCCCGACCGCCCATACGACGGAGTTTTATTTTATTGATAGTACTCAAAGTTACATTATACAGCATAAAATATCAAATCCCATGATGAAAACGGATACTCCTAATTAGTTGCAATATTACAGTATAATAAAAAGAACGAGGCGACCTTGTTTCGAACAGATTTAGTTGATTATCACTAATAAACGTTGTCAAGAGAAACTCCTAAACCCGTGTGGGCGATACGAACGTCGTTCGATGATAAATTCGTCGTTTGATCATGATCCGATAAAGATCTAGTCTATGGAATAGCAATTCCATCGATTTGAAGAGGCCTGGCGGATGTACGACGACAGCCGAAAAATAATACCGCGTTTTTAATGAACAAACAAAATGTTTTTACTTTATATTTCGCCGATACTTTTTAACTGTCGTATTTTTTAGTTCGTAACCCGACAAAATATTGCTACGATTATTTACATGTGGGTGGATAGTTTGAAGATAAAGCGAACAAACTAGTAATAATAATATTAATTACATTTATTTGTTCTCCCCTTCATAAAACGCACCGAATTATATAATATTTAGCCCTTATGCATGTGGTCTAGAATGTAAAACATTATGAGGGTTTTCATGGAAACGCACATACAGAGTGATTCATTTATCACCAACCACTTAATTAATCGAAAAATAAAAATAATATTCAAGTATTTTTGTTTCTTTTGATGTTTTTCTCAATTTATCGACCATAAAAGTATTTCTCGTATACATCCCTTATAATTTATAAGAGTATCAGCTTAATTTTTTTAAATGGCAACACATAATTAACTTACACATTTTATAGATAATGATCTTATTAAGAAAATGACTGCTCGATAACAACTTTTGAACCAGTATTTTAGAGTTTATTAAAATTTTATAACGATGGCTGGAGATTATAGGCGTGTGCTACCATTTTTACCATTAAACATATGTCGGCCTCGATCCTCTCCCGACAAAGTATGGAAATGTTAATAACTTCTGAAAAATTGGTCCAAAAAATGTTATCGACCAGTCTTTTCTTAATTCGATTATTAACTATTAAATAAAATAGTAATTCATGCATAAAGTACATCTTCCCTTATAAAGGATTAATATAAAAAATAGTTTATACATCGAAAAAGAAATAAAAAAAAAAAAATCTCAATATTATTTTTATTTATTGATTAATTAAGCAGTCTATGATAAATGAATCACTCTGTACATTAGATTGATACACTGTCGAATAGGATAGTTGTTTTTTATGAGAACCCAAGTACGTGTAAAACGTTGAAAAATACTCTTCGTCGTGGTATTATATTTACTTTTTGATTTGTGCACGTGGTGCGTCAACTCTTGATGGTTGACCGGAACTACTCGAAATGCCGTTCCCTAGGGTCGGGGAGATAATAGTAACTAGTGATACTAAAACACTAATAATACAAGTACCCAACAGGAGACATGTGTATGTAGAAAAGACACGTTGTAATATAGTGTTATTGTTTTTATATTACTCCACAAACACTTGGGCGACTGCGACCGCTTTGCCCGAGGCAAGGACGCGGATATCGTTATAAAGGACACAACTCCTAAAACCTGTTTCTTACATTTATTATGCTACTTTGTGCATAAACACAACGCTTCTAGTCCCGCCAACTACTGAATACCATCGACTTATAGTGTGAAACATACGCCATTTCTATTGGTGACATCTGTACGTTTGTACGCACCGTGAGGTTCGTGTTAACTCAAAATGGTCAAATCTCGTGGGACCACAGTTGACACAAAATGTCAAGTATGAAAATCAATGATGAATTTTAATTACAAAAATGTTCTTGTCCGAGTTCCACCTGAATAGTTCGGACGTTATAACATTCAAATACATTTTAATTATTGTAATAAGTTATTGATAAATGCTTAGACTAGACGATTTGTGTGTAAAATCCATTTTTTTAAACTCTTAATACACGTGAACGAGCTGTTATGGTCGAATAACAATCAATCCGGTTCGTATAACTCAATTGTGTTATTGTCTGAGCTATTGTCGTCTTATAATTCATTTTTTTTAAGATTATTCGGTCGTTGACTTATTTGTTTATGAACTTAATTACATAATTGAAAGTACATAATGAGAGTTCAAATCTGTCCGGATTCTTTAAGATTAATTAAAACACATTTAAACCATTTTCACACCTATTATTTTATTGTATAATAAAATATATAATAGTATAGTACGGATAACATATAATGTATTGAACAATTATAATATATATGTGCTCAATTGAAAAAAAATATCTGAGAAAATTGTGCACGTTTGCATCGACGATTAACAATGTTAAAATTATTTTCTATAAAACAACATTTTTGTTNATTAAAACACATTTAAACCATTTTCACACCTATTATTTTATTGTATAATAAAATATATAATAGTATAGTACGGATAACATATATTGTATTGAACAATTATAATATATATGTGCTCAATTGAAAAAAAATATCTGAGAAAATTGTGCACGCTTGCATCGACGATTAACAATGTTAAAATTATTTTCTATAAAAAAACATTTTTGTCNTGCATCGACGATTAACAATGTTAAAATTATTTTCTATAAAACAACATTTTTGTTGGTTTAGGTAAATTCATATCCTGTTTATAAAATTACTTATTTAACATAATGTTAATTTACTAAGAAATTTAATGTGATTGAACTCGAGAAATTTTAAAATTTTGATTTTTAAGTCATTTTTTTATCGTGTGTTTATAAATAAGTAAATTTTTTTTTTTTTTTAAGAAATTTGAATCACATAAATCGTACGTTCTAACTTTTTTTATGAACTGGTATTCTTTAGTCTTTTAAATAATTTTATTGAAATTAGACTTAAGTTAGGTCACCTTACACTATAAGTACAAAAATTATACAAATTAAATGGACGCAAGAGAATGCGTCAGCCATTCGACGCAGTTAAAGAAACTGTAATGACCAGTTGTACCAGGTTCACCTTATTAACTGTATTTGATTAGTTTCGATTAGAACACGGTGTGATTCGGTACAATAATTGAACCTTTACCTATTGCCGACCTAAACGATTCAAAGAAATGTTGTAGACAATACAAAAGTAGTGATGAAACATTAAATGACTCGTGTGATGGTTTGATTTTATGTAAATTTGTAGTTGTTTGTTATTTAGAGTAAATTCAAATGAAAAAAATAAAAATAAAAATTTAATAAGAAAATAATTTTTGACTATTTTTATAAAAAATCTCCAACGTGTATGAACGCAATATTTAATATTAGTGGTCACGACATGTGTTACATTAAAATGTACGTGTCTAGTAAATGTTATTACATTTTTTAGTTTTATGTTTCATTTACAACTGAATATTTGTTTATTTAATAATTTAAGTCGTATTGCGTGTTGAAATAATCAATACCTAAATTTTATTGCAATTCACATACTATTCTTAGCCTTAAATCGATGAAAATATTTTTCATCAAATAAAAGTTAAGTACAACATGATGTACATTTTCAATACAACGCAAATATACAAAAAAAGAATATTGCGGATTTTTAAATTTTCGAGCACTTTTTAAAATTAATAAAATATGTATACCAATGTTTGCATGTCAAATATTATTCCAATACTAAACTAGAATTTTGTCCTTTAGGTAAAACAAATTTTATGTGCGCCAAATGTATGCGAGAAATCGACCTACACATCATGTGTTCTACTTATTATCGATAGATAAATAATTAATTTTGTAATGTGGGCACGATTGGATAATAACACGGTTCACATTTTTGCCGTGCGGGTAAATGTATGTTGTTTAGTCGTTATTTGTCCGTATAATATTGAATACACCAAAGAGTTATGTGCTTTTTTAAAATATGAAAAAATAATTCTTTATACTTTGTGACATGTATACGGTCAAGGACGCGGTGAGAAAAGTGCAATAACATTACAAACGACAACAATAACAAACGACACTGGAAAAGAGCGGAGATAAGACGTGTGGCTACAAGTCCGCACAGGTTTCAGGGGACCACGGCGGCGCCTGCAGCAGGGCAACTGCACGCCGTGGCCGACGGAGGTGGGAAACAGCTGCTGCCGCCGTTGATCCTTTCGCACCGGTCGCAACCGCCGCCGCCACTAACGTTGTTCAATCGGTCAGTCGCGTTTCGTCCGTCGTCTTTTCCGCTCGCGCTGTCCAAGTACTCGAATCGTGTAGTTGTCCCGTTGACGACAAAATCGTGTGTTTGGTTTATTTTTTTGATTTTATTGCAATTTGAAATTTTTCTTTAACTTTTCATATCGACATGGGACGCAGCCTGGCACTGTGGACCAAAACTCTGAGTTTTCCATCCCGGAACTCGCCCAACAAGGCGTCTAAGCACAGCATTACTACATCCATTAACACGTCCTCGTGCAACATTTTCGCACCACCCGCCACGCCAATAAAAGACAAGACTCCCATATCTTCACCTGATGTAAGTTCGTTTAAAAATAGCGTTTTTTTTTCTTTCATTACCATAACTTGAAAACTCTAAAAGATCTATTTTCGAAGAACAGTTTGATGAGATTATATAAAGTATTGCATACTTAATTGAAAAAAAAGTGTAGTAAGACTTGAGTGATTTATTGTATTTTCACTATTAGGAACTTTTAAGGAAATTATTTTTCATGTTTCAATTCTTAATAATGTTCACGATACATATTCGTGCGCAACACGTCATTTGGTTTAATATTCATAATATCTATTCTCTCTTTTATGACAACTTTATGACTTCGAATACGACTTACGGGTCATGTTTTTAGCTAATATTAATATAATTATCCGTTCCACTTTTCTCTAGTAGTTTAGAGTAAATTTTCATTTAATTAATAAATCAGTACTCGGCCGAGTATCCATATTTTTAAGTATTTGCTCTTTCAAGTCGAGTATAATTTATTGGATATTGCTTTTTTTATCACAAGCGAGTGCTCAAGTATGCGGCTAAAGATATTACATTAGCTGTATATTTTACAAAATATCACGATATCATTTTATTTACATTCATAACAATAATATACCTAACAGTATTAATAACTCCATTCGTTTTAGACCGATTTTTCGTTGCGCAACGGCGTAAAAGGTATTATGACAGTTGTTGTGAAGAACTTGCCACGAAAGTAACTTTTGTAAATGTCATCGCGATTTTCCCTTTGGTATTTGTGATTTTTTTTTTTTCTAATGAGGTAAAAGTTTGCACATAACATCTCTTCGAGATTTCCGTGTTCACTTTTGTGGCTTACCTTGTAGTTGAAAAACAACAAGAAGTTAAGACCGTTGCAGCTTAGCTTCCAATTAGTTAGCCCATATAACAGTAAAAAAATAATAAAAACATAGTACCGCACCGTGCGAATTGGTCGTTTTAGAAATTACCGACAGTCGCCAATACAGGTTTGTCCACAAAGATCTTAACATATTTATTGACGAAAAAATACAAGTCACGTGGAAGTAGTTGTACACGGCGAGGAATACACATAAACGAATGTATTAATGAGATAAAGGCGTTTTAAACAATTGTATGTAAATGTCACTAGTAAAGTAAAATGTATTTGATCGTTAATGGATTTTATTTCGGAGATTATAATTCAAAACTAAAAAGTAGAACTTTGGAAATATTTTCATTTAATGTTGTGACAGTTTTTGCAAAAAGCGACCCGCCTTTAATCACATTAGCCGAAACGCCGTCACTCCTTTTAGTTAATTGATTTTTATCGATTCGTTTTTTATTTTTTGCACAAAAACGTTTAAACGTAATCTTTCAATTGAACTATTGGCTTGAAATAATAACAAAATAGAATTTGTATTTAATATTGCATTTGTTCGTCTGTAGGACATGTTTCGTGTAGTGACTGTAGTACAATTTTATTTTTCTTGGCAAACCAAATGGGCTTTGGGCAACAGACTAAACAAGTACATGTAACAACCGACTACACAAACGCATCTGACAACAATACGATTGTGTAGCAAATGCTTAATATTATGATCGACGACTAACAAATTACTAAAACTGTTGCTTGAAATAATGTATGATAATAATATATAGTGAAATAACAACAAAAATAAAACACTTCATTTTGAACAACAATGAAACGTGGTGTGCAGCGATTATTGTTAATTCACCTTCGCATTTGCATACAATCGTATTTTGTATATGGTCCGGGCGAATGCGGCCGCTAATGAAATTTTACCGAGAAATAGGGGAAATGGTGGGGGGGGGGCGAAGAAAATCTGTTGCAATTCGCTTGTCACTGATAAAATGAAATTAAACAAATAAAAGCGGGTGCACTGAAGTGACAATTGAGTGTAGAAATTGAATTATTGAAAAATGACTTTCGAGAGCTGTGCGGCGCCCACAAATCTCGTTTATACACTTCTTTACATTTTTTGTTCGCTTATAAATTAAAAATAAACCTGTTAACAATTTTATGGTAGTCGCGCTTTTATTTGAATTTAAAATCAGGCGTTTAAAATTTAAATGTAAAGTTTTTTCTTGCCGGTGTCCACAAATGTAGACACTTTTGGGAGTAAGTAAACGATAGGTTTTTATTTTTATGTGCGAAAAACAAACGTATATTAGAATATGAAGTAATCGTTGGATGACGACGATTAGTAAAATAGAAAAGCCCCGGGACAGTACGATTCGGCGGCGGGTTGCGTCGAGCCAGTTTGCACGAAAACGCTATGTAAATTTGATTCGAGTTGGCGGATCAGGCTGTTTGGCTACAACGGCGGCGTACCAGATGTGTTAATATAAATCATATGTGAAACGAGCAAATGATTTTCACGGTACAAGAGTGCCACGGCTGAGTAAATATATTATAAAAATCCATATACGGTATTGTATCAGACGGCGGGTTCACGTGTATTAAGCTCATTAGGGTTTTATTGTGTGCGTTGTTATCATTGCTGTTGTTGATGTGATATAATCGCACAGCCCTATGGCCAACGGGTGTCGGTGGAAATATGAAAACGCGTAACCGACCGGTTGTCGGGCAGCACAACGTTCGTCTTACGGCGTTACCAAAGTACAATAAATTCAACGATAGTAAACTAACCTTATGCAAGAGGAGCTCGTTAATTCGAAAGTAATTATCCACTCGCACGGTAAACGTTGCCATGCAGAATCGCGCCCAAATCGNACAATAAATTCAACGATAGTAAACTAACCTTATGCAAGAGGAGCTCGTTAATTCGAAAGTAATTATCCACTCGCACGGTAAACTTACGGTAACGTTGCCGCGCAGAATCGCTGTTCACGTTCGTGACGGTTCGTTAGTGAACTGGGCTAATTTTTAGAAGGAGATCCGAAAAGTTACTCACCTATATGTTCTTGGACCGTGTACGGTCCGAGTTAGCAGTTCTAATTTAAACCGGTCAATTTTCAATTGAAATTTCGGGTGGTTTCTAAAACTCATTGCGCAGTCATTTTTAATTAATTAGTTATTTTTTTTTAGTGCGAGAGATTACAGTTTCGTCACATTACAAATATAAGTAATTATCTATTAAAATATGTGTTAAGTTTATTTCCGCGTTGAACCCTATGAAAATCGATCTACTTCCTCTCGCGCGGCTTCCATTCGATTGAGCCTCTCAACTGTCATAACACATAACTTATTGCGACGGACTCGACCCATCAGACAATTGCCGTAAATGGCGTTGGATACGATTTCTACATCATCAGTAGTTAATACTATTAATTATCATCTATTAAGATTCGAGTTAACTGCTAAGTGATTAAAAAAAAAACGAATTAATTCTTCTCCATATCGTTTATTGGCGACTCCCATCGACTCGCACACCGTTATCGTGTGCGTTGCATCACGAGTGGTTTTTTTTATTCGCATCGGTCTTAATCTTACCATTTGTTATCATTCTTATGAACCCTTCGTAACAACAAAGCTGCCGAACGTGGTCTCGACCGCGTGTGCAGTGGAGGATTCACTTAATCGCTGTTCGAAAGCATCTGTCGCACGTCTTATGTGAAGTGTAAAAAATAAATACTAACCCGAATGGAATGTACCCAAAACGGACGTACGCATCTGCCGGACTAAATAAATTCATATCGTTGGCATTATTGTGGTAGTTGTGTAAAATAGTATGTGACTGGAAATATGTTATCGGGAGGTCAGACAATTTTTTGTTAAGCGTTTTTGGTCGAAAATATAATTTATGTACGCGCGCAACGCGTTCAATGGGACGAATTCGATACGTAAAGAAAACGTACAATAATAATAAGTACATACATATGCATCTTAGTGATGCTGTCAAAATAACACGGTCTGCGTGGTTGACTAATGATCTTTGATATTATTCTATTGTGGAGTTACAAGTTAACGATGTGTATATGTTAATACATTATGTTTTTATACAAAGCCAGTAAAAGATAGAAATAAGAAAATGATACGCTAATTATTGTTATCCGGCAATCTAATGACAAAAACATTGTGGACAATATACCCCCATGACGTATCCTCGACTCGAGTTCCGACGTGGTTCTACTGATGAATCCAAGTTGTTTGGTTTTACGGGTGCCACGTTAAAATATGATAAAGTCGATATGACTAACGTCTGGAGTTGACGAATAAGCTCAAAAATAGGCAATCGCGTAGCTAGTCTCATTTTGTAATATCACGACTTACACATGTAAAAAATAATTAAACGGAACCTACACTGAGAGTTTTTTTTTTAACTCTCTCAATTTGAACGATATGTATCTACGCCGCAAGACCGCAGCTGCTGTCGCCTCATACGAAGAGCAGGTGTGCTTCGATGACCGTAACATTTATAGGAGGTCTCCCTAAGCTTCACCATGCGTATATCCTTTTCGAAATACTCCTTGCTGGACGTCAACGACACATAACGATCGAAGGAATCACACCTGGTTTAGTTGGGTTTCTCTGGCGTGCTCAACCTTGCTTGACGCGCACACGGATCCAGTAAAATGATTTTTACGTGTAAGCCAATGTTAACTTACAGCCGTTGCATCATATCGATTATCCCTTATGAAGTTTCTATGCAAGTCAATGAAACACGTTATTACTGCAATGAGAATGTGTTTTATTGTGCATTTGATCATCTGCCACGTAGAAAAAACTCAAAATAACAGGGTTGAATCTACAACTTATTCTCTTGGACACTATAATTTCAAATCATTGTTTATCAAAATTTATTAAAGAAATTTGGAGATTGTATAAATATTGAATTAATCAATTTCAAGAATACACAAATGCTTATACCGCGATAAAAAAGCTGGAGAAGTCAAATATCAGTACATTATTATATGTTGCACGTTTTGATTTACAGAAATAATGTCCGAGAATAAAAAAATGTCGGTGACTTTTCAAACAAAATAGGAGGATTGGATTACTAAAAAAAAAAAAAGAGTGAACATAACTGAGTAATTTAGACGGGTTTAAAGTGAAGTTAATTCGCTGATGGGTGTAATCTAATAAGTGATATGACTTTTTACTACACCAGTTACTTAGAGATTGAGCTATACCGATCTATAGAGACTGACATCGTGAGAACGTTATTGTTGCTACCGAGATCGGTCGGGTGTACACACTGTCCGCTCAACGATAAACATGGGAAATCCTTTCAAGCTGAGTTTAATCGATTCTTGCGGTTTTACTTTTTTCCGTAGTCATTTCTCATATATGTATATCTTGTCATGTATATTGTTTTAACGGCTACTGAATAACAAATGGAGTGGAAAGGATCATCCGATTTCGACACGATTTGGAACTTAGTACTTGTTTCGAATTTATGTTGTTGTGTATGTATATATACTCTTAAAGGCATTCGACGTGTCTAATAAAAGAATTTTCGTGTCAGAGGGCATTTTGTACTTGGGTCGCCAACACATATGTTTGATGTTAGCAGTTCCGTACGATATCCCACTGCGAAGGGAACAAATATCGTTTTCGGTTCGGTGCAGTTATTACATTCTACAAACATATGGTGAACTCATCATAGGCGACCCCATTGTGTGTACGAAGCACACATGTTCTGTAAATAATGTAACACGTTCTATTGTCTATCGGCTGGGCACGTCCTTCCATGTCTTAAATACGAAAGAAAGCAAAAATAATTCTGATTGTCACAGTTTTTTTTTTAGAAACGTCTCTCAGTGACGACCGCAGGCCCATTTTGGGTATTGCAAAAATCCGTCAATCGGTTTTGCCCATCTGTTGCCGTGTTAACTATAATGCTTAATCAGAATAGAATTAATATTAAATGTGTACTCATTCCTTTAGGGATGCATTTTGTGACCGCCTATATTAGTTATTCCCAGGCACCTATAAATAATTTAGCAATTATGAACGATTAAAATTATTTTAGACCTATGTTGACTCTTAATTATTTTGTAGGCATCTGACAATGAAAAGGAAAAAGATATTATGGCTTCTACCGTGTATTGTATACACCACAAGGAAGGATGCAAATGGTCCGATCAACTTAAACGTTTAAAGGTAAGATACTTTTTTAGAAATGATTTTATGAAAAACTAGATACTAACATTTTGTTACACTAGGGTCATTTACAAACTTGTAAGTTTGATGCGATTCCTTGTACGAATCACTGTGGTGCTCAAATTGCTCGTATATTGATGGACGACCACGTGAGGTACACGTGCATTGATCGTCTAATCAAATGTGACTATTGCAATGGAGAAATGAAAGGCGAAGTGGCTGGTGAAGAGCATAGCCGAACGTGCCCCGTAGAGCCAATCCATTGTGAAGCCAAGTGTGGAGTTAAGATTCCTAGGAGAATGTTGGCTAAGCATAAGGTAATTTGTTTTATGAATTAATTGTTAATATACAATGTGTTTAGTTAATAAGGAAATAGATCAATACAAACGAGAACAATAGAAAAACCATTTCTTTGCTTACTGAACGCCCTGCATAACTATAAATGTTAGTAAAATAACTTTAAATAGTCTAATTTAACATGGTAAATTTAGGTGACTGAATGTTCAAAAAGACTGCTGCCTTGTCGTCATTGTGGGCGACAGTTTGTGGCTGATACGATGAATTCACATTTAACGTCATGCCCGCGATTCCCTGTTTCGTGCCCTAACAGATGTGAGATTGTAACAGTAGCCCGTGAAGATCTTGAACACCATATTAAGCTTACTTGTAACTCAATGTTGCAATCTTGTGTTTTCAAAGATGTAGGGTGTCGTTTTAAGGTAATTAGATAAATTTTTTTGTAATTATAAAAATATTAAACAACTTTTCAATTGATTATTAGGCTTCTAAGGGAAAACCTATGGATGCTCATATGGATGAAGCTAATCAACAACACATGGTATTAATGTGTTCGATGGTAGCTAAGCAACAACAACAGATTGTGTCCATGAAAAAAGTCATTAACAATTTGGCCGTCAACCAATCAGGCAAGTATTCATGAAATTAAAGAACGAATTAGACAATTCGTATGTTTTAAACGAGCTATTTTATCATAATTTTTGTTTAATAAAGGCACATTAATCTGGAAAATCGGGGATGTACTCGAGAAAATTGAAGAAGGTCAACATAAGTTGTGTGGTGATGGCATTGAATTGATTAGTTCTCCATTTTATACCAGTCAGTTTGGATATAAGTTGCAAGCATCTGTATTTTTGAATGGTAATGGTTCTGGTGAAAACACTCATGTATCAGTCTATATAAAAATATTACCAGGAGAATTTGATGCCCTATTAAAATGGCCTTTTTCACATTCCGTTGCATTTACATTGTTTGATCAAAGTGAAAAGGTATTAAAATTTTATTAATATTATGAATTAATTAATAGGATGTCTTAGGATACAATGAAAAAAAAAAGCTTTCATTGTAATAGTTTGTTGAAAATGTTATACATACAAATTAACAAACATCACTTTTAGTCATGAGTTCATAATATTCTATGAGATTCTAAAATGTTTAATTTTTGTTTTTTAAATACCTTTTTAATAACTTTTTTTTTTACGTCTAATCTTAAAATAAGGAACAGTAATACGAGTGAAATACGATAAAATGTCAACTATTGGAAGAATATAAATTATTTGACTTATTCATTCTGCTTATTTTTTTTTATACAGAATATAAAAAATATAAGTAATTTAAATTTTTTGTAACAAAAAACAAAACATTTTTAGTTGATATTAAATTAAAAAATATATACATATGATTGATGTACACATTGATTATCGATTTATAAGTTAAAGAATAATGTTTTTAATTCATATGAATTTTTTTATAGCCATGCAACATTGTTGAAAGTTTTGTACCAGATCCGTCATGGGAAAATTTTCAACGACCAAGTACACAACCAGATTGTCTTGGATTTGGATTCCCAAAATTTGTTTCACATGACACTTTACTGAAAAAAAGACAGTTCATTAAAGATAATGTATTATTTCTTCGCATCAAAGTTGACCCTAGCAAAATAATTGCTGTTTAAATTGATTCTTTTTACAGTCAAATATTCAATTATTATGTTATTAACACTATATTTTATGTATATTTTTATTTTGATCTCATTCTGTTTAAAGCCACAGTATGTGTAAAGGCTATATTACTTTTATTTTGACAATGTACAAACTATTTGACTGTTTATGTTGATTCTTTTTGTATAAATTTAATTGAAGTTTATATTTATTTTCTTAATTTTCTTTATCTTTTTGAAGTACTATTAGTTATATTTTATTTCTTTTCTTTTCTATATATTAGTATATTTCATAAATTTTTTTCAATGTTGTACCAAAACAGTGAAATAAGCTTAAAAGCATTTTAATTAATACAAGTTATATAATACACTTAAATTTTTTGTTGTTCACAATATAGTATAATTATATAAATATAAATATATATGTATTTATATATATTTTTTATATAGTATTATTCATGAAAAATATTATTAGCTCAAGAAGTTAAAATTANGTTTTTTGTACTTAAAACTGCCATAACTTTTTCAAAAATGAACAAATAAAAATAATATTTTTTTGTATTGAAACCTTAGATATTTCCCTTTCATTTGATATAATTTTTTTTGAAAATCTAACACTTATTCTGCTCACTGAGGGAATTTAAAATAGTAATTTTTTTACAAAAAATAACTTTTTCAACTTGATTTTTGATAATGTTCCGGAAATACTGCGTCCTTTAAACATATATAAAATTAAAGCTTATTTTATGTACTACAAAATGAAAAAAAAAAATTTTTATACGCAAATGGCTACCATATTCAAAAATATGCTATTTTTGTATGAAAATTATGGGTTTTGTATTTTATTTTAATAGAAGTTGATGTTGCTTTTGCAATTATCCAACAATTTTTTAAAATTAATCACTATCTACAGATTTGCATCGAAGCGTTTCTTATGATAGTGATTTTAATCACTGTCAGATTAAATCTAGACTGAACCCAACTATGCAATGTCTCCACTATGCCGCGACCCCACTGTGCTACCGTTTTTTTTTTTATATAGTATTATTCATGAAAAATATTATTAGCTCAAGAAGTTAAAATTAATGTCAACTTATCTTATACTTACATTAAGCAAAAAGATTTTTTAGTAACTGAAATACTTGATATGAATTGTTCCTATCACCATTTAAATGTAACATGTCAATCCAAATATTGTCATTAGTTCTTAAAACTAGAGTAGCTTCAAATAAAATTTTTTTATTATCTTTATGAGGTTCTGAGGATTGATTAAATTCTGACTCATTATACATATTGTTTTCCTTTTTTTGTCTTTTGTCTGTTAACCTCTGTTCCATTCGTCTTTTTCGTCTTTGATGATGCCATGTATTTTCGAATGCTTTAATATCAGCTTGGTATAAAATATCTTTATTTTTCAATAATTTATAAGGAGAAACAATCAACTATAACTCAAAATATTAATAAAAATAATTTTTCATTTATTTAATAAATATAATTACCTTTAAATTTGAAAATAGTTCATTTAATTTATAAATGGCACTATCAGTATTATATGTACTTGAAAGAGAAAATGACAGGGGTGGTTTTAATGAATTTTTTTGAAACTCTATGTTAGGCATAAAATTGATTAATTTGATATCTGAATGGAATGTCCAAGCAAGTCCCCAACGTGCAGTTTGGCCTTGAAAAAAAGTAGCTTTGGCAATACTATTGGCTCCAATGTTGACTAGTTCTTTTTTCAAAGGACTTAATGATGACTTATAGCCAACCATGGTAGTATAAATACTAAAAAAATACATAATCATTGAATTATGAATAATAATTACAAATTTTAAATGCAGTAATAAATAAAAAATTTTAGTCCCAGATTAATAAGAAATATATTACATATATTTCTTGATTTAATAATTTAATAATTATTAGTTCTATTTCCAAGACAAGTGCTAAAAATTACAATGCCTTGTGCGAAACAATTTTGTGGTGCCCTTAATATTTTTTTTTTATAAAGAATGAATAATTTTAGATCTTCTACATTGTGTAGGGTTTGTTAAAGCTTGGGGTTTATCTCTTACACCTCTAGCCACAGATGCAATTAGAACGAAAATTTGAGAAAGGCTTCCTTTGATGGTGATGGCCTAATCTACAATCAACCAACCCATGATGATTCTGCAATACCATCACTAAATCTACCCTTAGTTGCAATAATAAAGTGAGATAAATTGTACTGGTTTATTAACTAAAAGTTAATGTCTACCGTATTTGAGCTGTTTAGTTCTTAAGAAGTATTAGGTACCTAATAGAATTTTGTAATCTTTCACTCTCAGTAATAATTTTTTTAATAAAGTCAACTTCACCACCAGCTGTATACATTTCACAGGAAGATCCAGTATTATTATCTTCATCATCAGAACATGTTGTTTGTTGACAATGGAATGGAGGATTACACATACAAAAATCATAGTGTTCATTTTCTTTTACTGGTAGAAGTCCATCCCATTCCGATACTTCTAATACTAATCAATTAAAATATTTAATTTGGATAGCTGCAATTATTTATCAAAATAATTTATACCATTGATTTTACATTGAAGATTATTTTTTACCACATTTTTAAGTGCTGTTTCAATTGATTCTTTATTGATATCTGTACCAACCATGGACCAGCCAAACTTTTTGGCTGCTAATAGTGGATAAATACATGATGCACCAGTACCTAAAATAAAATCAAAAAATTAATTGCTAAGAGAAAATCAATTATTTTTACTCACCTATATCTATTCCTTTGGTATTAAATGAATTAGTATTATTCAAGTTTAATAAATCTTCAATCCATAAAAGGTAGTTTAGTCTTAATGGTATTCTTGGTACTAATTTACCAGATGGTAAATCAACATCTAAGCCAAAATCTTTTTTTAACAAAATTATAGTCAAAACACGTAATCCATCAGGATTCTCAAAATCAAAAGTAACTTTTCCATTTAAAGTCTAAAAACGTTTTTAACAAATTTCTTTAAAGTAAGTACAAGTGAAAAAAGTCATAAATACAAACAGTAGTAGCATATTTTCTAAATTCAGGATATTCTTCAGCTAATTCTTTAAAGTTTGGTCTGATTTTGTATAAATTTCTAGGATGCATAAATCTGTGGGGTGGCATTTTATTATATTTATTAACGTTTGAAAATAAGGAAATGATATTTTATATTTAATTAAAGAAAAATTAAAAAAAATACATTGTACTTATTTTTTATTATCAACTCGCGCTACATATTATCAATAATACTCAACTCTTATCAATTGATTAGATTAATTTCAAAGAACATCATTCTAAATTATTTATTTGAAAATAATTTTATTATAGCATTATTTTTTAAATATTCATTATAGGTATTGAAAAAGATCTTCCGAGTGAAATTGTAATCAATATTTAATTTTTCAGACAAAAAATACTTTTCAAAGAATTATATCATAAAAAAATTAATATTGATAAAAGCTAGCATAATAGTTTTCATTTCCCCTTATCAAAGATAAAAATGTTGTCAATTCTTCTTTGTTGCTAACTTCATAAACACATGGTTCGCTTTTTTCAGTGCGCTTACCGGTACTTTTACTTGATAGTTGAAATGGTTTGCGAAGCATGTTATTAAAAAAATATTATATTGTTAAAAAAAAGTAATGTGTTCCTATACCTTAATTTTGTGTAATACCTTTAATTGTTTATTAATAAGGCGATCTTTTTAGAGCTTGTAAATTACTACGGTAAGCGAATAAGTTACAACTCCATTTTAACGTTAGTTAACGTTTTGGTTTTATAAATGAAATTTTTAGATTATTTAGATTTTTTCTAACACAACACATTAAAATAATTATTAGTTTGTTAAGATATTATATGATTTTTAAAGAACATTTATTTTTGTATTTTTCAATTTGATTTTTTACTAACCTTTTATTGTTTTTTTTTTAAATTAATTTATTTTTCATGATTTTAGGAATAGAAAGACATTTATTAAAATTAAGAAGAAATCTTCTATAGTAGTGAATACTAACATGAGTCCTAGTCAAAGTGAGTTTGCCTTTGTTAAATAATTAAAAAATATACATCAATAACACTTATTTAAATGTTTTGTTTATATTTTTAAATTTTTTTTAGTTAATTTATTTTCAACTGATGATTTAAATATATCAGACCAAAGCTTGAAAAGATCATATTCAGATTCGATTGAAAAAGAAAATCCTGTACAAAACAATTTTTATGGGCGTAAGTTTATTAAAAATATAATTTAATGATTATTGTCATGATTGTAATAAATCATAATACAATAACACAATTAAGTATATTAATCATATATAATATATTAAAAATATTAAACTGTAAAATTTAACATAGGAAAAAAAAAGAAGTCTTTCAGTCAAAAAGATATTGATAAAGCAGTACAAACATCAACTAGTGGATATATGACAAGATGTAGATTACTTAAACAGTTAAAAGGTAAAATTATAATTTTTTAAGTGAAAATTTAACAGGGCCTCAATAAATATAACATGGTGTAATACTGCTGAACATTAATATGTAATACTAGTGAGCATTTAACATAGGTATTGTTTTTAATTGTACTATTGAATAACATCCATCCAAGTTAGATAAAAAACATTTATCTCATGTTTTAGTTTAAAAAGAAAACTTATAAACTTTTATTTATCAAGTATATTTAAATGATAACTCATTTATGATTGAAATATTTATAATTTTTCATTTAATTCATTCAAATAAGTTGATTGTGCTACTAAAATTAAAAATAATTAATATTGTTATGAAACATTTTTGATTCTTATTACTCCTACATATCTAAAATATAATTAATTTCCTAAGCTATTTATGGTAAATATTTAAAAAAAAAACATTCATTAAGTATCATTTCAATTGTGTGTTATATAGTATACTCGGGTTTTATTTAATTAAGTATTATTTATGTTTAAACTAGAAAACAATGAATTAAATCCGGCTGATGATGTAAGAACTGTTTCTAAAATTGAAGGTACTAAATCAAAAAGGATTTCAGGTAATATATATATATATATAACTAAAACATAGAATTATATGCATTTATAAATTTTGTTTAAGCTACTTTGAAGGGTTCCAAGTTTGTAAAACTTAGTTGTAAAATTATATAAAAACATAAAAATATTTTTCATTTTAGGGGAAATTAACCCCTTAATCATCTCAAAACCTATAACATCATTAAAAAAGAGCTAAATTTTTAAACAATTAATAAAAATGTGTATTTGCAGATGGTGTGTTCAGAAGAACTTAGTAAAATGTATAAATGCATATAATTCTTTGCTCTTTATATAATAAATGTTAAAAAATTATTGTAGCAAACAGTTATGAATTAAGTGTATAAACTTCTCAATTATTTTTAGGGAAAAAAAATGGAAAAGGCAGAAAAATTAAAAAAAAAGGCCAGAACAATTCATTTAACTATGGTAAATGATTAATATTTACTTTTCCTAGTTTTATAAAAATATTTTTTACATAAATATTATAATAATTTCAAAATAAACTTATGGTTTTTATATCAGGGTTGTTACATTTTAAGTAGCAGGTTATAACAGTGTTTTTTATTAGTTAAACACCAAAAATTAAAAAATTTACATTGATCTTTTGGGACATTTTAAACATTTTAAAACTGTTGATTTATGTTTTAAACAGGTTTTTTTTAACAACCGTTTAATAATGAGTTATAAAATATTGCTAACTAATATAAGTGAATCTCGATAATTTGGAATAAATGGAACCATAATAGTGCCGAACTATTAGAAATACTGGATTACCGTAGGTTATATGTAAAATATATAATTTAAAAAATGATGAAAAAGATGAATGTATAGTTAAAATATATTGAGTTTACGAGAACTTAATGAATTAGCATAAGGTATAAAAGTTACAGTCATTATAAATTTTTTCTACTTGGGATTTTTAGATTTAGTGAACATATGTTTATCTGGCAACGACCTTCAGAATAAATAATTTTTGTTAGTGTCATAACTATTCTATAACCTTTTTAACAGTAGGTAAAAACTTTTCTTGGATTGGTAACATCACTGCAGTTTTCTATTCTTAGACTATATGTATTATCTTTTAACTTTTTTTAGATGGCTAAATATTTCTTTTTTATCACACAAAGTTATGATTGTGTGTTCAATGACATTTTTTTTAGTACACAAATTCAATAAAACAAATTATGCAGCTGTACAATATAAAAGTTATTTAAATCACACGTTCTGATAACTGTGTGCCAGATTATTTATTGAGATACACCTGTAATTATAATTTTTAAACTTATTATTATAAATAATTCATTTTTAGTTTTCACTCATGATATATTTTCAAAAAATGATATATATCCTAAAAAGAAAAAAAATGTTATTCCTTCATTATTTGAGTCAGAGTCAGAATCTGAAGATGATAATATCAAACTAATTAATAATTCAATTGGTAACTTAATTCATAATGTATTATTTATAATATATTTTAACTATTTAACTTTTTATTTTAGAATCTCATGTACTTGATAAAACAAAAGTTTTCGAACATAACTTAGATTCTGTACTTCCAAGTCTAATTTCTAAAGGTAAGTGTTTGTAAAAAATTAGTAGCTTTAAATAAATAATATAGACATTTTTTTAGTAAGAATTAAGAAAATATTATGTTCAACTTTCATTAATGTGTATTTTTAAATACTTTTTTTTTGGCGGTTGTCTAATGCTATTATTGCTTATTTGTAAAATGATTTATCATATATACTCTTAAATTTAATTCTAGGCGGTGATGTGAAAACCTACACTAATAAAAAGACAATCTGTTCAAAAATTACTGAAGCTTGTAAGTATTTAATTATGTTGTCTTTGTTTTGTTGAAGAAGATATTATGTTGGGCTCTAATGTAGGTTTTATTTGGTTTTTATAGTTTATTGATTTTTTCTATATACCACTGTTGTTGATGAAATTTTTTATTTATATTAATCATAATTCTGTTTATAGATGATATTACATTTTTTGGTACATTAACATTAATTGTAGCTTCTATTGCAGTTATGTCTGTATTTTCATTTCCTCTTATATTTCGTTGAGCTGGTATCCAGATGTATGTACTATTTCATAGTGAAATATTTCATACATTTAGTTTGAAGTGCTATTGTTTTTTGCTGATTGTTGCTGAATATTTCATTTTCCACATTTAAATTTTTTATTGCTACTATCTACTAAGGGAGCCACTAGCTAGAAGAAAAAAATCTATACTTTTTCTATTTGTTCTAGAACTTTTAAAATTGCTAAAGTTTCAATTGGCAATATATAATTGTATCTATAGAAGGAGAAGCAAAAATGGTTTTTAAAATATAATTGCAAAATCTTTTATACTGACGCTTAGATCCATCAGTGTTTATTATTTAATGGTTATTGTACTAAAATTGTGTTACTTAATTGAATTGTTTTGTATATCTTGTAAGTTTAATTTTTTGATGTATCAACATTATTGTAGTTTCCAAGGTTAAAAATGTTGTATGTGGAGAAATTCTTGGTAATTCTGTGTTGGTTTTTGTAAGCTAGTTCTGTATTTAAAATACTATAGGTTGCTTTTTAAAAATTATTTATTGGTTATATATTTTAATGTAGGGCTATGAGAATATTATGTTTTTATATTTAAAAGAGGTGTATTATAAAAAGAGGTATTGGCTTCACATAATATGCTTGGTGTGGGGCTTGATTTAAATGCTCAGATGTTAAAGCATAAATCTTGGTTGAAGATGGTGTATAGTGTTTTCAGTTGAGATAAAATTTCAGTTCCATATGAGTTTCATTGAATTTTACTAAGAAGGTGAGATATTTTTAAAAATTAGATATGTATGTATGTCTCTGTTAATATTCTACTTCTGAAGTGTTATTAGAATTTTGTTCAGCCAATTTATATTATAATAAGATTTTTGGATATTCAATGAGGTTAATAATGTTATTTGGCATGGAATGCTGAATAGATGTCTTTTGTTATAATGGTTAGTGCATTCATGGTAGATCTGTTTTTTTGAAATCCATCTTTGTCTGGTTTAGAGATAGATCTTATGATTGTTTTTCTCCATAATGATGGGAAATTTTTATTTTGTCATATCATATTGTACATTAAAAAAAAAAGTGAGTCTAATATGTTGTCTTTATCATAATAATTTTGATTAATTTATTTTCTTTTTAATGATATTTAAAAATTATGATATAATATCCTTACTGTATATGTAAAAATTCAACAAATAAAAAAAAAAATTATAATAATGATAATGAATAAAATATTTATATTAAGCGTGATTTCAATTAAATATATTCTTAAAAAAAATATATATATTTATATCAAATAACTAGTTATCAATATTTTATTTATAGGTGAAAAGCAATCTAATACATCTGTAGAAAAAAAGTTAAATTCAATCCATGATTTACAGTTAATAATGAATGAACCATTAATAACGAATGAACTTAACTATTCATCAAATCCAATCTCCAACCTTCTAGTCAATACTAAATCATCTGTTAATACCAAATATTCATCTCTTTCATCAATATGTAAAGATACCAAGAAAAGTAATATATATATTTTATATTAAGTGTACAGATTATATATAATATTTAAAAAAAAATTGATAATGTCAAAAATATTAAATTATTATCTTTTAATGTTCTATCCTTAATAAAGTACCATAAAATTGAATATCAAGAATTTAAAGTAAAACATTATCATTGATCAATTGGTTTAGTTTAATACACAATTGTTATTATAAAATGTATACTCCAAGTCCTTGGAGTTCTATAAATTTAAAATGGTAGTTGCTTGTTTTGGCAATAGATCGTCATCTGGTTACATTTAAAAAGTAAATTAAATATAACATAGAACAGATAGATAAAAATGATCACAAAATACTTGTTATCTCAACATATACAAATTATGTTAGTTGTGTAATGTATGTATTTTGAAAATTTTGTTAAAAATAAGTTAACATATTTTCAAATTAGTTTTAATTTTTTAATTATAAGGAATGTTAATATTAGAAATATTTTTTGAGAATTCTATAAAAAAAGCAATTTAATGCTCATAATTAGATCAGAGTATTTAAAGCCCCAATAAAGACCTATATATGCAAATACTTTTGCACTTAAAAACCTTATAATATAAACTCAAACTTTTTTTTTTAAGTAATTTGTTTATAACAGATAAATTCATTGTTACATGATACAAATTTTTTCTTTTGAATTTTATTTATGTTTATAAATAAATATCTGCAGGGATTGTTTATGTATATGATAATATATATGCAAATACTAAAAGTTCTCTATTCCACAGCTTATTATAAATAATATTAAAACGGAATAATTTCAATAAATATAAAATATGTAAGTGATGTTATAGTATTAATATATTGTAATTTTTTTAGGCACAAATATATTGAAATTATATCCTGAAATCTCATCAGAATGTTCAAGTTTATCTATGTTAAAAAGCTGTTTAAATCCAAATGAGCCTGTAGATATTTTATCAATGAATGATCAACAAAAATCTAGTAACTAATCTAATATTTTATTTTTTCAGTGTTTTTGCAAGGTCTCTCTTTAATTAATAAAATAAACTTAATCATACATAAAATTCAAGTGTAGAAAAGAATTTTTAAACATTTTTTTTTATGAAGTTTCAGATTCAAATGACTGGATATTTAATGATTCTAATGATCTTGAACAATTTGTAGTTACTCCAGAGTATGTTAAAAAATTAGAAGAAGAACTTAAAATGGAATCTAAAAGTGAGAAATAAAAATTATTATTTAAAATCTTTCTTTAGCTTCGATGCGAAGCTGAGAAGGTATTGGTTTTACTATGATATGTTTTTTTTTTGTGTTTGTTACCACTTTTTCTCAGCTCTCACCGAAACCAATTTCTTTCAATGATACGTCAAAAGATCACAAATTGTATCTAATCAAAGACATTACCCTCAAAAATTGAAAAAATTTCGCTCGTTCCCCGTAAATGGGGGAAACCTCCAAAAAAATTACAAATTTAAAATTCGCTAATTTTCGAAGNCTTTCAATGATACGTCAAAAGATCACAAATTGTATCTAATCAAAGACATTACCCTCAAAAATTGAAAAAATTTCGCTCGTTCCTCGTAAATGGGGGAAACCTCCAAAAAAATTACAAATTTAAAATTCGCTAATTTTCGAAGTTTTTAAAATTTTTTTTACTTAAAACTGCCTTTTTAAAAAATGAACAAATCATGATAATTTTTTTTTTATAGATGCTTGATGTCTTTACCTATCATTTGGTATATTTTTTTTATAAATTTAACCCTTTACCTACCCACAGGGAGGGACTCAAAATGACAACTTTTTCACAAAAAGTTAACTTTTTTAACTTGACTTTTGAAAATGTTCTGTGAATAACTGACACTTTTATATAAATCTTAATTTAAAGATAATGTAATATACTTTATTATGAAAAAAAAATTTGACCTCTGGAATTGTCTTCGTGGTGAAAATGGCTACCAAATGCTGTTTTCGTGTGAAAATTATTGATTTTATTTTTTACATTTTTAACTTTATAATGCTATAACTTATTGAAAAGTGTATGGATCAATACAATTTTTTTATGAGAAATAATACTTTTTAATAATCCCTTTTTCATTCAGGATGTTAATAAGAAAATAGCAGATCATGTAGCTTTTAGAATAATCCACCAATTTTTTTAAATTAAACACTATTTAAAGATTTGTATCAAAGCGTTTTTTTGGTAGTGATTTTAATCACTGTCAGAAATCATTATACTTGATCTAACTATGCCTCGTTACCACTGTGCCGCGACCCCACTAAGCTGGGTTTTTTTTTATAATTACAGTATGTTAAAAAAATTTTTAATAACGTTTTTAATATTTCCCATATCTTAAATTAATTAAATAATGAATAAAAATCATGTTTTTATGTTATTAAACTATATATGTACCAAATTTTAGGGTTTCTTATGGAATTTTACTTACACCCTAACTTTAAATTTATATTAAATATAATATTTTAAGGTTTTATGTTCTAAATATCCATTTTGGAATTTATTATACTAAAAAAAATTAAACAAAATTAGCGTTAGGACCACCAGCAATTTTTCCTAAAAAATCGTGAAATTTTGGCTATTAAATTTATGTAATATATATATATATAAGGTTATTAATATCTGGTAAGACACTCATTTTCTCAAAAATTATTGAGAATTTAACATTTTTATAAGGAGAACCAATAGGATTTTCATGAAACTCTACATAATATGTAGTTATATTTTTTTTCATCCCTGCAGAGATAAAAATTCTTATTTGTAATTTTTTAAATGGAAATTCCTATTTTAACTTTATAATATGATAGAGAAAAAAAACTACTAACATTTTTGTTCTTACAATTTTTTTTTTCGATCAACTGTTGGTCTGTTACTGCTTGTTAAAATTAAGTGATTTTACTGTCTTGAATACAGAAATCATTAATTTTTTTTGCAGTCGCATAAACCAATTTTTATTTATCAAGTCATGAAATAGTAACATTGCTGCTACCGTAGAGACAATAATACTGGTTGCACTGCCACTGGTTTATAAAAACAAATCAATAATGAATTTTTACTTGCATTTAAATCTTTAAACAATTCATACAATGTAAACGGTTGATTGGATTAAAAAATTGTGAGAACAGTGTTATTTGTAATTTTTTTGTATCATATTTTAAAGTTAAAAATAAGGATTTCTATTTAAGAAAATTTTAAATCAGGATTTTTATCCCCAAAGGGTCGGAAAAAAATATAACTACATATTATGTAAAGAACATATTTTTCTCCTTACAAAAATTTTAAATTCTCAATAGTTTTTGAGAAATTGAGTGTCTTACAAGATTTTATCACTTTGTATATTTTTCAAATTTCAATATATTTAAGAGGAAAATGATCATGTACTTATAATTTAATAATATTAAAAAAAATTATTTACTTGAGTTTTAAAATTATTAATTAATCTTTCAATATAGTTACCAATAGTACCAGCAATAAAAATAAAATACAAGCTAATGTCTTGGAATTGCCCATTGAACCTAATCCTGAATTTAATATAGGTATGTTATCTTAATTTTTGTTAGATTTGATTTATTTAAGTTATATTATAAAACTAAATTTAATTTTTATTAATTGTATAAAAAATCTCAATTTTTACCCAAAATTCATTCATTACAGAAAAAATTCTTCAGGATAATCATGATGTTCAATTAATTAAAAAACCAGATGTATTTTCAAGTAAGTTTCAATTATGCAGTATAGATTTTGAATAAATTGTTTAAATAAATTTATGTTCTGTAGAGAATATCACAAATTCCCATAATTATGTAGATGAAAACCCTTCTTGTAGTATTTTTAATGTTGAAGAAATTTCTCCATCTAATGATAATAAATCATTGAGTATAACAAATATTAGTGAAAATATTACAAAAATTAGTAAGTTATTTTTATATTATATATTTATATTTATATTATAAAATCGTACTTATAATATTAATTAATTCTGCTTATATTTTATCATAACGTAATGACTAATCTGTTTATTTTTAAAGATTCATCAACCTAAGAAAAAGATATATTAAAATTTATATTTAGAAATTACACAATTTTATTTTTTAATAATGGTGTCATAAAATACTAATTCATTAATTTTTTTATGTAATGTTTAGTACAAGAAAGTAAAAATGATATATCGTATTTACTTAAAGATTCCAATGATGAAAGTGTTAATGAAATGAAATCTCAGAATATTGAACTATCTTTCAAAACTCTCAATGATTCATTTCATGAGTCTAATTTATTAACAGGTATATTTTTATGAGTCATTAAATGTAATTAAATTATTGATTCTGTAAATCTAATATCATATTTACTTAAAGATTCCAATGGTGAAAGTGTTAATGAAATGAAATCTCAGAATATTGAACTATCTTTCAAAACTCTCAATGATTCATTTCATGAGTCTAATTTATTAACAGGTATATTTTAATGAGTCATTAAATGTAATTAAATTATTGATTCTGTAAATCTAATATCATATTTACTTAAAGATTCCAATGGTGAAAGTGTTAATGAAATGAAATCTCAGAATATTGAACTATCTTTCAAAACTCTCAATGATTCATTTCATGAGTCTAATTTATTAACAGGTATATTTTAATGAGTCATTAAATGTAATTAAATTATTGATTCTGTAAATCTAATATCATATTTACTTAAAGATTCCAATGGTGAAAGTGTTAATGAAATGAAATCTCAGAATATTGAACTATCTTTCAAAACTCTCAATGATTCATTTCATGAGTCTAATTTATTAACAGGTATATTTTTATGAGTCATTAAATGTAATTAAATTATTGATTCTGTAAATCTAATATGTAATGAATTAGATTTTTCTCTGTGCGGTAAAAGAAAGCAATCACAAATTAGTATATTTGACTTGCATAATGTTCCCAACCATGATAATAATTGCAATGATGTTATTAAAATACCTTTTATAAATTATGAAAAACCTATTAACTTATTTAGTTCAAATAAAATTGAAGTTGTAGAAATTCGTAAGTACTTTAGAATCATTTACTTGCAAATAACTTTATATTTTATTGATTTATTTGTTTAAATTTAGTTAGGAATAAAAGTATTCTATAATTTAATTATAAAATTAATAGGTTTTTAAATTATGTGAAAATGGTACAAGAATAACTTGTTTTAACAATTATGTTAATAAACTTATTGGTGATTTTAGAATTTTAAAAGTAACTTTTTATAAATAAGATTTTTATTAAAAACTATAAAAATTGACTAAATTTTTGGGGTTTAGTGTAATTATGTTGCCCTTTTAGCATGAAATTCCTTAAATAATATTTATACAATCTTGATAATGTTTAACATTTTTATGGTTATAAAATAAAGATGAATATGTCTACCATTATCCTTGAAATCTAGAAGTTCATCTCAAAAGAAATGATGTTAAAAAATAAATAAAAAAAGAATACTGTATAGCTAAAATTCAATATTACTATTGTAAACGTTAATGAACTTAATAATTTTATAAAGTAAAACTTCTAGTTTTACTTAAATTTTTCTAACATATTTAAATAAAATAATAGGTAATCTTACATATAATGAAGTATTTATAAATAATTATTTATCTATAATAAAATACCTGAAAATTACTTAAATAAAATGTTTGACTCAAATGGTAGATTTGTTTTTTAAATCAAAGTTTTATATAATATTAAAAATAATCATAAACATAAAATGTGTACTAGTGATAACAATGGCAATGATGGCCATCATTCTAAAGTATATTATAATTCACATAAAAAAAGAAGCTTTATGGAGACTTAGAAATCACAATTCAATTTCTTGTATCAATAAACTTCAGTTAAACTAAATGTATAACTTAGTAACATGTTATTTTACTACTTTTACTACTGCATTCCAGTCTCCTAAAACAATTAGGTTTGTTTTTTCGTTTGTCATTTCTATCACTCTATATCTATATTTGTTCTAGATATCTTCTATTTCTTCATCATATTTATGATAAGCAGGAGTTTTTGTGGTTCTATTCTAACTGTAGACCATAAGGGGATTATTTGATTTATTACATACAATATTTTTGATAGAGAACAGTTACTACACAATCAAATTTTATTATTATTGCATTTGCTTAATAAAAGTCTTTTTAGGTTGTTAATATTTTTGTTTCAGCTTTGTCTATTGATAAAAAATGCAATTGCAAAACATTTTTTTATGTAAATGTTGATAATAATAAAATTTTTAATTCAAAATCAGAACATCATGCATTTGATATTAACTTAAAAAAATCTCGCAGTGATATGTACACTAAAAAGCATATAGAAGGAAATATTCTGCATGATTTAATAAGTAAAGACAAGAAATGCTTAATCAGTCAAATGAGAAGTTCTAATTTTGATATTCCCTTACTATTGGAATTAGAAGGAAAAGAAAGTATATTAAAACCTCTGGAAATTTCTCATAAAACAACAGTGTCAAATGATATTGATCCTAACATTTTAAGTATTCTAAAAGATGTTTATGTGGATATTGATTATTTATCTGATAACTGTGAAACTCGTGAAAGTAAGAATTTACATTGATTTATTTATCTATTCTTTATTGTTGATATTATTTTTTTATTATTAATACATTATTCATTATATTTTATCATTATAATTATTAGTTAATAAGGTCCTCAATCAATATTGATATTTCAATACAAGATTAATATTAAATATAAATTTTTCATATTTGATGTTAAAATAAATATTATAATAATAAAGTGGAAATCCTGTATTTTATAATTATTTTAATTTTCTAACCAATTTTACGTATATATTTTTTATTTATATATTGGGTGATTTTTTTCTATATTTTGATAAAATATCACCGAAAATACTACAATGTTGATAGTTAAAAATATGTCATTTAAGAACTCAATGAGTTCAGTATAAAATTGTTGAAATTTTGAATGAAAATTATATTAATTATTTATTATTCCTTAGGAGACAAAACTCCTAGTAAGAAATTGAAGTTCAAAAACACCTTTGAACCAAGTGTCACAGTTTTAACTCATAATGAGAAAAAAAAATGTAAGTATTCTTTCAATAATTTAATTTATAAAAAATAACATACAATTATTCAGAACTTTAGAGTAAATAATTAGTGTAGTTTTTGAGAAAATGATTGGGGTAGATTTTCCAAAAAAAAATTATTTACATGATGAAGATACAATTTATTGACAATAATGATGTTATTTATTGACATATATTTTCAGGTTATACTATAAACCCATATGAAAATAAAGCAGTAAAAAATATGAATTCTATTTCACCAAATTTTAATTTATCTACTAACAAAAAGGCTCAAATTAATTGTTCCAAAGTTATGACTAAAGCACCACAAATTAATGCAGGTATTTAATAAATTTAATTTATTTTGAACATAATTTTATTTGATCTATTTGAGGTACTAATTACTATACAGGGTGATTGACTAACTATGCCTCACAAATTTTCTTTAAAAATATTGGTTTTATCATATATGTAATTATTTTATTTGTTATAAATCTTTGTTGAGCTACTTGATAAGAAAAATAAAGATTTCATCTTTATCCCTTAACCCTCAAATCAATATCAACTTTAGTTTTTCAAATAGCAACCAGTTTTTTTTTTTATTAATCTAGTTTAGCATAAAAAAAAAAAAAAAATCAATTTTAATCAATTCTAAAAGAGATTACTATTTAAAGTTTATGGGTTAACAAATAAAACAGTAGTCGAGTAAATACAGTAACATTAATATTTAGTGTACAGATAAGAACTATTGGTGTATTGTACTGCAACGTAAAATTTGAGCATTTTTTATAAAATAACGTGAGTAATACTAAACTTCAATGAATCATAGCACACTGATAATTGAATAATAATAATAAAAAAAAAAATTGTACAAAACATTTTTTAGCATCGATGCTATGTGTTTTTTTTTTCTGTTACCACTTTTTCTCAGCTCTCACCAAACCAATTTCTTTCAACAATACGTCAAAAGATCACAAATCGTATCAAATCGAAGTAGATAGATACCAGACTATAATATTCCAAATATTTTGGTGACTTGTTGCTATAGAAATCATTTCTAAAAATAATAAAAAAAAAAAAAAATCAGTAATATAATACCTTCTCAGCTTCGCATTAAAGCTAAAAATTGATTGTTAGTTTCTTCTGAATTAACATGGATTTTTAGTTTTTTTAACAACTTTTTTTTGATTAGTTATTTTAGTTAAAGTAATTATTATAAGTAGTAAAGAAATCATTATAAGTATAAACTTATAACTTTGTTAACTATTATAACTTTATAATTACAATTTTTTTCTCATAAAATTTTCTATTTAATGATGTCAATTTCAAACTTGTAAATTGAGCTAAATGTTATCGTAATATTATACTAATAAAATAAAAATGGGTATAAAATAGATAGTTTAATAGTTCATACTAGTTATATTTTAAAATTATTCTATTCATTTTTAGACAAGCAAACTAATTGTTCTTCATATAATGTAAATATTGATAATTATTTAAAAAATGCATCTGGTAATCCCTATTCAGAAAAGTGTAATTCAAATAAACAAAATTCACAGTTTTCTACTACTGGTAATATTTAAGCTTCTTTTAAAATATTTTTGTAACTGTAATTCAATTTTTAAAATAGCTAAGACAATTGAACTGTCTGAAGATGTCAATACTTCTATTAACTGTAGTGAAAAACTATTAATTAAAGAAAAAGATGTGTCAAATTTATTACCATCTTCAAAATGTGAACATTCTTATAATAATAGTACATTTTGTAAAGAAAAATTCTTACCTAAAAGTAAATAATTATTGATTGCCGATTTAATTTAAGTAATTGAAGGATACAGGAAAAATATGATAGTTGTCTATTTTTTATATTGATTTTATAGTTAAATTCAATAGATCATTGGCAGTTGTATCAAGTATTAAAATCTGTGAAAAATATTTTTATTTTACTTATGTTAAAGAGTCTTTTTTTATTTAATTAATAAAGGGATAAAAATTGATTACTTTGTTTTTGATTTCCTGAAAATTTTATAGAGAAGACCATTATGGTTTTTACCCTGTATCCTTCTTGTCAAAATCAGTTTGATTATTATCAAAATATATTCAATTTCACAGAATCAACACCACTTAAAGTTCATACCATTATAGACAAGAAAGAATCGTCAAATGATAACTCAATGATTGATGTTTCAGATACTAAACAAAATTTATCTAGTAATTATTATGCTTTATACTTTATGCTTTAGATATTTGTTTCATTATATTTTATATTTACAGCATTATTAAAAAAACCAACCTACAAAGAAAAGTCTTTTAAAGCAGAAAGTGAAAGTTCCAATATATTATTGCGTTCTAGAGAACTTAAAAATTCAGGTACCTCAGAAATTGATATTCCGTTAGAAAATAGTCCATCCAAAATATATTCAAGTATGTGTTATTTATTTGTATTATTTTTGTTAAATCTTCTTAAATCATCATTTTTTAGATATAGAACCATCATTCAATAATAAAAATAGAATAAATACCAGTGTTATCAATGAAGATCAAGTTTTTTATAAAAGCATTTTTGAAGTAAGAAATATTTCTAATTCTAGTTCAGAAAATTCGTTTGAAGATAGTTCAAGTGAAGATGAATTGTTGATCTCAGGTTATTATTATTATTTTTTATAAATATCACTACCTAAAAATAACTTTTCTTATTAATGAAATCTAACTTATATCTTCAGTATTAACATTTAATTATACAGGGTAATCGGTTCATCAAATCTTTCGATAATTCTCAAAATAAATACAATATTGGAAAAAAAACTTTGATTTATCTTAGTTGCATATATTTCTTTATTTAACAACTAATAAATTATTTTTATTACTCTTTGTACCATTTAGGTATAAAAATATGATTAACTTCCATAGTATTGGCCCTAAAGTTTTATTTTATTTTATATAATTCAACGGACTGGGCCCTTTTACATATCAAATAGATATGTACAATTTATACAAAGACTACAATTTTTAAGTACAAAACAATAAAAAATCCACAATAACTTACAAAGTAACAAAAATTTTAGATATTTAATATTTTTAGAACTAAGTGTTAAATAATAAATTAGTGAAATGAATGTCCATATTGGTACAAGACATTAAATGCCTTAATGGCTCATTCACTAAATAATTGGTAGAAGCATACGGGACAAAAAAGGGAAAAAAATAAATTTTTAACAGCAATGTTTAGCTGAAAGTCTTGCTAGTCTAAATAATAAACCAAGTACTTTAAACACCTTACAGCTTATATAATTAATGTGTGGATTAGGGTCAAGGTTAAAACTTAACATTAATCCAAAGTCCATGACAAAATCAGTTTGATGTCGGATATTATTTGTGTTACAATTTAGAAACAACCCTTATAACTTTAAGGGGTGTTAAATTTTTTTTTTTTTTAATAGCAACATACATATACTTTGGAAGTTATTCTCAATTTTATACTGTTAGTAAATGACTAGTGATTAAATTAGCAGCACTCATTTCTCACCTCACCATTTCAGTCTTAACTTCTGAAATACTAGTTCAAAAATTGTTATCAACCAATCATTTTCTTAATTTAATAATTTTCTATTTAATAAGTTGATTATATATGTATATTGCCATTAAAAAAATTAAGTCAACACACCTTTAAATTATAAGGGATGTTTCTAAAAAGTAATTATTTGTTTATAAATCAAGAAATATATGCAACTAAAAGAAATAAAAGTTTTTTTTTAATATTGTATTTATTTTGAAAATAATTGAAAAAAAATAATAATCAAATGATTATTATAAATCGATCAGACTACATAGTTATAAAAAGATCACTAACTTTTTATTGTAAAAATTTTTTTTGGAAATAATAAAGAGACATTTTAAATTTTGTTATTATTATGCTTATCAAATTTATTTATTAGTTCTTTGAAACAATGTTTTAGAAAGTTTAAAAAATTCTACATTCAATACTTTTCATAAAGAATCATTATGCAGTAAAAAAGAAGAAAATGATTTTAATAATGAGTACAATAAGTTTCAAAAAACAGATCTTCAAGATTTTTCTATGGGTATTTTTGATGAAATATACAATTTTAAATAAATGTGTTATTAAAAAGTGGTTTAATATTTTATTTTATTATTTAATATTATATTTATTGTTAGATCGTATGCACAATGACAGTAATGATATGCCATTTAAAATAAATTCACATTATACAGATATTAATTTTCAACCTGATATTTCTAAAATTTCTGTTTCTCCTAATTCTTCTAAATATGCTAAACAAGAAGTTGTTTGTGATAAAAGCTTAGGTATATATATTATTATTATTCTGTGTTATATTTTTAATTTTAATTTATGTAACTTTCAGATAATGAAAATAATAAACTACCTTATAATAATATGTTTGATCAAAATTTCTGCAATGTTTCAACGGATAATGAAAGTTCTGATGAAGAAGGAAAATTGCAAATCGGTAAATATAATATCATACCTGAGGTGGTATTGGGCTATAAGTTTTTTTTACTAATTTTCTCAAAATATAAATTACTGATTTAAAAACTAAATAAAGTTTCGATTTTGGATAAAATTAAAATATATTCTACCCAATCATATATAATGATGTAATTAAACAAATATAATCCATTACCTTTATTTTTCAGAATGTCCAGTTGAAAATTGTTCTAAAAATGGGTCAGCTAATATTACTAGCATGAATTCTCAAAATATTAATGAAAATAACACAGAAATAAACAAAAATGGTAATTTAATTTTTCAATTTTTATTTAGGTATATGTCTAAATTCATAGATTATACAATTTATAAAAATACACTCCTTGGGCATATCTAAATAACCGGCATTTCAATACTGGCCATCAGCTAATTTTGATCATAATACTTGGTTTTCTTTGTAGTAATGAACAACTTTTGAGTTATAATTGGGAATTATATCTATGGACAAGTATTCATACACCGACTGATGTATTTTTAAGTTTTACAGAGTATAAGTAATAAAAAACAATTCAATTGGGACTATGCTTAGTAGAGACCAAGGATAGTCAAAATTGTATAGATTAAAATTATACATTAATACAAATATACATTATAAAACTATACATTTATTTTTAAAATCATTGTGACGAAATTTGATATAGCATCCAATAATAATTATTCAAATGTGAATATAAATTATATTAATTTTTAAAATAAAAATGTTCAAATCTTTCTTTAAAGGTTCCTTATTTACTATATTGATAAAATATTTGATACTCACTTACATTATTGTGTAGGGTGTTTATAAAACAATTTCTTAATAATCAATAAAAAATGAACTAAATATTATTTATATGTATCATTTATTAAATGTTTGCTCATTATATCACAACTAAAGTTATTTTTAACTTAATAACAATCAAGTCATTATTACAAGAGGTAGACTAAACCTTACCTGAACCTAAAAAATTGTACAATTTAAACACAATTTCCAAGTCCAAGTTTACAAAATCTTGCATATCTTTTGTTATAAGGTTGATAAAAGTAGAATATATATTGATATATTTAGGACATGAATAATAAACAGTGACTAACTTTTTCAATTTCTTCAAAAATTAGCTTATTTACTGTTTAGAAACCACCAGGGTTTCTAATTTTTGGTGTAGGCATATTTTTTTTATGAAGCTTTAAGGAAACCTACGTAAGGTATTAGGTTGTTTTAAAAAACCAGTAAGCTGAATAAAACATTTGGTGTTGCGTATTTTTTCATATTTCAAAGTTAAAATACGGTTTTGATTTTTAATTCTGTTTTTATAGCATAAATACTATTAATTAAAAACATTTCTGGTTGACCAAAACGTAGACAATTATTGTTTTACTATTACAGCTATAAGAGCAAAAAATTACTTATACCTTTATTACTAAAAAAAAATACAACCATGTACTATTCTTTAACTTGAAATAATTTTCGTTTACTTAGAGAACAATTAAAATATTCTTCTTTCTGTTATTTTTTCTATTATTGTCTGTAACTTTGTGATCCTGTTACTAAGGAACATGTAATATTAATTGCAGCACGTGTATTTATAAATTTTTAAATATTTTCAAAATTTTTTGGTGTTATAACAGTTATAAAAGTTTTTACTTTTTCAACATATTTTAGGATTTTTGGTTAATGCTAAAAACAATTTTTTAAATTGTATGTCAGTACTTAAAATAGAACGTTTTAAAGCTGTATGTTATGAGCCCCACTAATAACTATTAGATAAAACTAATCTATCAGAATTATGGGTTTTTATTAAGATTAACTGAAAAAACTGTGTCATATATGCATTTGGCTAGTTTGTTATATATTCATGTTGAGAATAATACATATATTTTTTATTATATTTTAGTTGATATATTTTTTTTAAGTTTCAGATTCGAAAATTGATAATTCATTTTTTGAAAAAGTCAATGTGTTTTATACAAATGCCGATTCAAAAAAAGATTCTGATATTGATATAATCCCTTTAGACATAATTGATGTAACAAATAAATGCATAAGTATGTGTATTATTTAATTAAGTCAGTAAAGATAAAAGTAATTTATAATTTATATAGGGTGATTGGTTTATGATAAATTACTCAATTACCCTCAAAAATAAATACAATATTGTGTAAAAACAATTTTTGATTTCTTTTAGTTACATATATTTCTTGATTATTCAGCAAATAATTACTTTTTAAAATCATCACTTATAACTTAAAAGGGTGTTTTTTAAATGGCAACATACACATTTAACTAGCTTATAGATTAGGAAATTTTATAATTAAGGATATGACTAGTCGTTAATAACTTTAAGACCAGTACTTTAGAAGTTATTCTCATTGTTATGCTGTTGGGAAATGACTAGTGATAAAATAGCAGCAACTATTCCAATCTTCACAGTCTTAACTTTTTAAACACTAGTTCAAAAATTGTTATTGACCAATTATTTTCTTAATTAGATATTTTTCTATTTAATAACTTTATAATAGGATATAAGGAATAAACAAAAAATATTTCATAAAAGATAGTTGGAGATACATTTACTAATAAAATATTTATTTTTTATTTTTTGAAACTCAATTAACATATTTGGTAAGCACCACCGGAATTTATTACTAAACATTTTTTTTAACAATAAATAACTATTAGATTTATTTAAAAATGTTTTAAACTTTTTTTTATTAATCTTATGAAATTTATAAATGTTAATTCTTTTAAATTTTGAATATAATTTATCTGGTTTTTTTTATTGGAATACGAGATTTAAGTTAGAAAAATTGTAATTTTCTGAATTATAAGAATGTGTTCTCAGAAGAGTATATTTTAAAAAACACACCTTTAAATTATAAGTGATTATTCTAAAAAGTAATTATTTGCTAATAAATCAGGAAATATATGCAACTAAAAATATCCCACTCAGTAAGAAAAAATTTTAATATGATAGAAATATTACGTATTGATTACTTAGAAAATATTAGTTTATATTATTAATTCCCGTAATGTTACATTTTTATCTTAGTTTTTTAATATTATAATAATATTATACGTTGATTCTACTTTAAATATTTATTTTTGAAAGCCACGTCAAAATTTATGTAATATTATTTTGCTAATATTCACTAAATTTGGTATTAAAATATTTCGATAAAATTATATGTTAATTCTACTTTTAATACATATTTTTAAATGTCTTGTCAACATTTATGTAATACTTATTTTTAATATTCAATTTGATTTTAAAATATTTGCATAAATTTATAATTAAAATTTTTTCAAATTTTAGTCATAATTATAATTATTTAATGTCAGCATATTAAATAAACATATTTATCCATTTAATATCAAATGTTTATATTATATTTATTTTACATTTATTTTATTAATATATTATTATTCAGTAATCGAATGGTTTATGATAAACCAATCATTTTGTGTATCATTTTTTTTTTTTTAAATTAGCTACAGATAAAAATAATAGCTGTGAACCAGAAAACATTCTAGATGACAAATTGGCTCTGAATAAAGATAATGATTTGAATTTTATGTCCTCTGACTTGTCAGTTGACACATGTAATGAATTATTCTCGATATTGTGTACAAAAGATAAAAATGAATTTTCCAAACAAATTCAAGATATATTTAAAGAAATGATGGTGGGTGAACCTTTTGTTCCTCTTTGTACTCATTTAGTAGCCGAGACTGATACAGGTATTTAAAATTTATTTAAATTAAAAATTTAAATGACATATTAGTATTTCCTTTAGTGGCACATCATATTATTAACATATAAGGAAGTGTATCACAATCTGAAACATAAGTGTGTGGTGGTTTAGTAGTAGATTATATCTTTAGGCGTTGTATTGTAGATTCTATTTCTATAATGTACCTCCTTTTTTTCACATAATTTCTGGTACTTTTTGATGAATATTCAGCAACTAAGTCATAAAATAATAATGCTTTGTAAATAATAACTATGTTCTTTAACATAATATATAACAATTATGTGTATAGTTTATAATATATGTAATAGATACAAATACAAATAATTAAAATAAATTACTGATTTATTTAAAAATTTTTTAGAAAATATGGAATTAAATAGTAAAAGTACCACTTTTGATGAATCATTAAATGTTAACAGTGTTGCAAATATCACAACTAAAGTTGAAAATGAAAAAGGTAATTTTAAACTAATAGTTATCAACAAACTTTGTGTCCAACATATTTAAACTATCTAAAAAAATTGTGTTTGTTATTTATAAAATTTTTCATTTTTTATGAATAAATATGTATTAATAATTTGAAATATAATAAACATGTATAAATATTTGCTTAATTTTAGAGCAAAATGAATATTTTTCAAAATTAAGTGAAACAGAGCAACCAATTCCAGATAGTAATACTATGTGTAAAAGTGAAAATATAGTATTGAGTAAAAAGGAAAAAAAAAAAAATAATAACCAAAAAAATCCATCAACACAAAAAAAAAGTAATTTTTTAACAATTTTTCCTGATAAATCAATAACAACAAAATGTTTTTTCCTTTGGTGATCAATTTTGTTATATCTAATTAATTTTTTTTTAATATTTTTCAGATATTAAAAGTAATATCAAAATTAGGCTTACTTTTAGGGATTTAATAAATTCTAACAAACCAATAAATGAACTTTTGGAGTCAAAAGAATTTAGAAATTTACGTTTTTTCAACGAAGGAGAAATTGCCAGGTAGATCATACGATTCTAATTGCATATACTTATAAAAAATTCAAAAAATGTTCGTAACATTTTATTTTATTGCAGTTCTATTGGTGTGTTACTTTTTGAAAAAATGATTGCAGTACCTATTATTAATGGTTTGGCACCTTTTAAAATTGACTATTCTCAATTAGAAAGTCCTCAACAAATTGAGCGGCTAAGGGAAATAAATTTACATATAGAATGCCCCACAATAGTTAAGTTAACTTCACTTACTTTAGCATTAGCCAAAATGATAAGAAAGGATTCATTTATTTATTTGGTATTAAGTGTTATTCGAAAAAATGTTTTGAATAAAAAAATGAATATGAATCATGCAATTGTAAGTAAGAATATCTTCAGGTTATTGGTTCATTAAATACTATTTCTTCCAATAATATTTCTAATTTTTAGGACAACTTAATAATAACTAATACAACATATTTTGTCGATATATGTGTTCGATTAAGACTTTTAAAGACACTTCAGACATTTATTTTTGATTCAATGGTTATATTACCAAATAAATACTGTTGTGTAATATTCATATCATTATTAATGTGGAAAAATTGCCTGCCCATGCGAATAAATGATGAAGAAGGTAATTAACTTATTATTTATGAATAAGTTATTTAGGCTTAAACTTTATTTTTATTGTAGATCCAGTTCTAGTAAGTGTCATATCATGTATAATAGCTAAACAAAAGTTATATTCTGAGCAAATTGCTGGTTGTGACATTTTTCAACGTGAATTGATTAATTTATTATCTATTCATTTCAATTACTCATTTAACACTGATTTACCTGTAAATTTTATACAACATATAAACAAGCCAGGTACATACATTTTATGTTTATCTTATGTAATTTCATGAATTTTTTAATTCTGTATTTTTCATTTTTAGATTTTTTTGTATCCATTGTTGTTTTTTTGAAGTGTTGTAAATCTAAAGATATGGTTGAGTTTATTTTGAATTGCCTATTTCCAGCCTTGGAGTATTATCTAAATACTCAAATAAACGAAGAAAATACTCTTAAAATTATGCAGTCAATAAGTAAATAAATAATTTTTTAAATGATTTTAAGCATAATAAATTAATTTTAATATCTTATAATTTTTTAATAATATTTTTAGTCATGTCTATCAAGCCTTTTAGAACATCATGTAATGCTATAATAGCCACTTATTTAAATAAGTATAAAAATTCTCTTAATACAAAAAAAAGTGAAAAAGAACATATTTACATTACTATTTATAATAGTTATAAAATACTGCAGGAAAAGTTTATTGAATATTTAAAAGATAGTCGTATACGTAATTATTATTTTTAAAATTTTTGAAAAACTGATTAATTAAAGTTAGTTATTTAATTTTTTTTTTTATGTCATAGGATCTAGGTTATTTGAAGAATGTCTTATAACTATTGTTATGGTGTTGGGATCAGTTGACTATGCTTCAAGTACTATAGCAATAATGAAGTATCATCCAAAATACAAACCTTCTTCAGGCTTATTGAAAAAGTACATTGTTTATAAATCAATTTTAGGCCCAGATTTATGGGATAAATTAACAAAGATGGATGATGTAAACATGATTAAGTGTATTATTAATAGCGCTGTTTTAAAAATAAAGAATTTTAGCGATATTATGTTAAAATTGCATACTCTTGTAAATAGCTTATGTTTAACATAATTATATTTTATTGACTTTTAATATATTAATTTATTGACTGTGATAGCATTACAATGGTTTTTTATCAACTTATTTTACAAAATTATATTTTTGTAAAAATTAATTTGATTGTAATTTTTCTACCAATTAAATGCAAAAATGTTTTAAAGAATAAGAAGTAGAATGAAAATTCCTATTTTAAAACTTAATAATAAGTTGTGATAGATATTATTAAGTAATTATGGCTTATATTATATAGTGTTAAATTTTTTTAATTTTCTCTTATAAGTAAAACTGATGTATTATATGTTATTGTTAAATCCTTATTTTAATTAATAAAGCTATTTTTTTTTTAATTATTTATGAACTATATTATATTTTTGAAGTATAAGAGTGTGATAGTGATGCATCATCATATTATGGTCAAAAGTTTTATAAAATAATTTTGAGCCTATTAATAATTATGTAACTAAACTACGTGAAAAATTTATTTTTATCATATTTCACAGGTAAATAAATTGCTTGTTATAGCTACAATTTAATTTAATTATGCAGCGTAATTTGTGTGTAAATTATAATTAAATGATTTTAGAACTAAACTTTGGTCACTTAAGGGATAAATACAACTAGATTCTATGAGTAATGGCACCTTCTGTGCTGTTGGCTTCCATGTTTGTACGAATCTCTACTTTTGTTACTATCAATCTAAATCACAATTATTGCTCACTCCGGTGTAGCAAATAAGGATTGCTGTTAACCACAGAGATAGATAACTTTCTCCTTATGGCAATCCACTTGGATGAGGTATTAACCTCCTCACGATAAATGCTGTATCCTTTAAATTCTTCTTTTCTTTTTTAAGGTATTATTGAAAAATGATACGTTTAATTTTTAAATTGATTGCTTCATTATATAATAATCGTTATTGTCTAAAACAAGTTCTCAATATGTCAATTTGCAAGTTGTAATAACCATCAAAGAAAATCTATGAAGTGTTATGAATAACCCTTAGTTACAATATAATTTTCAGAAATGTTATTTATTTTATAAATATCCAGTAGAGTAGACAAAAGAGGTTCAGAGTAAGCTGGACTTATATCAATAAAATATTTACCGACAATGACAGAAATTAACTTATTACTAACCTATTGACACGCAAAATTTAAACATTTAATAATTTTACCAAAGTTGGTTAATACATAACTATCTCTCTTAACTAATGAATTAAGCTTAAAACTACTGCAATATATCTGATGATATTGGGGACCAATGACATCATTAATTATGGGACCTTGGCAATGTAATTTTCTTTTTTTATCAAATTTATCACTTGTATTAGGACTACCTAAATTTTTCTTTACATTATTGCATTGCTCATCATATCTATAGATAAATTACTGCAATGGTTTTTCACATTTTCTGAGTACTAACTTAAATTCTTCCAAAAAATTTTCGAATGGATAACAGCTGCATTCATTAAGGGGCCCAAAATTGTTATAATCATCAGTCAAGTGTAAAAGTCCATGAATATTGTGAGACATACTGAAGTTACCATAAGTTTTATTAAATGATTTAACAAAATAGTTCATGAGTTCTTGAGGATATTCTGTGTAGTCTTTTTTATTTGGACTAAGAAAAATTATCATGGCAACATTAAGTGACATAAAATTAAAATAGCAATCCTCTGAAATAATATTTTTTAAGACAAAAGGTCTAACATAAACTTTTTAAAAAACGTAGTTCAGTAGTTTTCCACTGTAAAATACCTTGAATTTCTCGAGGCTTTCTAGGGAACTACAGTAAAATATTTTTTAATATGCAACAATCGTGAAGTAATTTCATTAATATTTCTTGCTGGTAATCGTACAGTTGATGGGCCTTTCAAAACCCAAAATAAAATCAATTTACGCATTACTTTTAAATTAGTAAGATGCATATAATCCAAAATAAAGGACCGAGTTATATAAATGATGGAGATTTTAGTTAAAATGGACGGAGAAGATGTATGAAATTCTTCGTGTACTACATTTTGATATTCATAATCATTTCTTAGTGTTGATTTAGTGGTACTATATGGAAAACACACACCATTGTTTAAATAATCACCTTCAATTAGACAACGAGTACACGAATTGAAACCACTATGGCTTTTAATTTTTAAAATAAAACTTTTAGCAGGTGCATCAAAGCAAAAGAGATCAAATTTAATAATAAAATATTTATTACTGATGTTTAATCCATTGGTTAAATACACAGCTTCATTGACAAAATCTAACAAAAAATCATCACTTTCTTAAGGCATAGCATTTCCATGATACAAGCCAATAGGAAATACTTTTTTTAATTTCTAATATAAGCTAAGATGGGCCAGAATTGACTTTTGCTAGAACGTGACAAAGGTAAACCATCAATACTTACAACTAATTTTAAAATACTGTAATTAACTAAACTATTATCATAATTTAATTGTATACCTTTGGCAATACCAAAATGGTGATATATTCCAGGCTTTACAATTCTTATGGTATAATATATACTATCTTTGTGCAATGAGGAAAAGCAATTATGATTTTTTAGCACCAAAAGTAAACCATTAACAGCATTTAAAGGTATGTTATAATGAACTGCCTAATGAGCTAGTTCATCATTAAATGAATTTTCAAGTTTTTGGATAGTATTAATATGTCCTTTCGATTTTAAAATGTCAATTTTATCAAATGAAATGGGTGTAGCAACTGTAGTAACCACTAAATTTGTTGATATACCAGAGCTAGGAGCAGGCTGAGTTAAATCAGGATAATTAGTGGAATTATAACTCGATTCGACTTATAATTAATATTATATTATTAATATTATCAAGACTATTTTTCATTTTTCTTCTTTTAGAACGACTACTCTTTACTAAGGTAGACATAATATAGATTAATTTATATTATATTTATACAGATTTGGATAAACTAGTCATCTAATTTAATTTATCATAAATAATAATTATATAATCAATTTAGTAATTACAAATATACTATATATAATAAAACTCACTAATAATACAAAAAATGTGAGTTTTTTGTTTCTAACACAATAACCAAAACCATGTACAATTGTACAACACAGTCCATCATGCGTTTGACAAAAAATATAAACAAGACGTTCTACTAGCAGATTCGAAATTGGACGATAGAAAGAAATAGACGATCAACTATAAATAAACAAAGGCAACGCTTAATAATCGACATACGCTCACGCGCTTTATTTTGTAGTCATCACGGTTAAATAGACCACGGTTTAAAAACCCACACAATAAATATATAACCGTGGTCGTCTTCTTTTACAACAAGATAATTCGAATAGCTATAGCTACCTGAAATTATATATTTTATAACATGTTATAAAATATATATTTCTAAACAAGCCGAAACCACGATCGTAGAACAACAAATATATTTTTTTATTCTACAATTTATGAAGGCTAGGTATACTTAGTCTACCCAAGTGATGTCCGGCCACGACTGCTTTAACGAGTACTTACACCGTATTCGTGAAGCAGCCGCGCCGATGTGCGACCATTGTTCGGATCGCCCGGGAGAGGCTGATAGCGCTCTGCACACCCTCTTCCGGTGCGAGGCGTGGGCCCAGAAACGGGACTCTTTGGAGTCTCGACTAGGGCCTACGTTCCGAGTCGGGTCCATGGTGGACCTGATGTTGAGGAGCCGGAAGGCGTGGAGGCTTGTCCAGGCGTTCGCCGAATCCGTCTTATTAAAGAAGGAGGAAGCGGAACGCCTGAGACAGAGGCAGCCACGCCGCCCGGCACAGGAGGACCTGAGGCGCTGGTTTAGGCCGGCGCCTTAGGTATTCGTGTTTTATGTTTTTGTGAATTATTTGTCCCCTTCGCAAAGTCCTGCCCCCACCTCCACGTGGTGCAACCCGGGCAATGGATCCCACTCCGGGATGCGTATTTACAAACCCTCTATAGCCCCAGCGCCTGGTCTCAATACGCTATTCTTATTGGTCCGTTTAAAATTAGTGCCAAATATCGTGTTATCATTGCGATTCAAATTTAAATAATGCTAAATTGATATTTGTTTTTAATTGTCAACTTTTACTCCTAATTAATTAAAAATGCCTTTCAAGGAAATAATTAGAAGAATGAATGAACATTTTATATGTGAAATTGATCGCTCTAAATCTGACTTAGATAAACAAAATATTATAATAAGAAAAAACATTAGTAATATTGAAGATGCTATTGAGTGGGTAAATTTGTTTTCTATAACAACTAACACAAACTGGATTGTTAGTTTCAAATTAAAAAATCCTCAAAAGTATGTAAAGTATTTCATTGTAAGAATGATATTGATTTTAGCTTAAGACTTAAGCTTTATAATCATGTTATGTTATTATATCATACATTTACTAATACCTTTTTATTATTTTTTCATATGTTAAAAATTTTTTAACAAACTTATGCATAACAATTAAATTGAGTTTTTTGATTGGCGTCTCAGTTTATTAGTTTCAAAATATTGAAAGTAAAAATAAATACGTAGTTTAGAGTATTTTAGAGTAGAACAGTATTATTGATTAAATAATTAGTATCTCAGTATTTTACAAAATTTAAATGGCAATACAAAGATTTTTGTAAGTTGTACTGCTATCATTTAGATCATAAATGTAAGCAAATTTAAATGTATCAAGTCAATGATCCTCTTAATTATAAATATATAATTAATTAGATGTTAAAGGTCATAGTTGTAAAAAATACTATTAAAATGTATTTTAAATAACACCCAAATATTTGAAAAAAAAAATTTGAATACAAAAAAAAAATGAAATATAAATATTGTTTTAATTTTAATAAAGTGCATAGTTACTATATGAATATACTATAAATATGACAATAAATTTATTCAAATATTGAGTGCTCTTAAGTTGAGAGTATTTATTTAATAATTTCAATATTTTTTTTAGAGTTAAATAAAATTATATATTGGACACTTATCAGTAAAAAAAAATATTAATTCATCATAATTTGTTCAGAACAATTAAAATCTTTTTTAGTTGTTATT